TGATTTTCTCAGTCGAAAGTTCTGTGTGGCTGTTTCCTAATACACTGAAATTCTGGACCAAACAAATTGTAAAACCTTTGTATCAGCGCCCAAAGTACTGTCCGAAATTTAACGTGTGAGGTGGCATATCTGTGTTAGGGGCAACCCCCTCTGTGTATTTGAAAGGAATATGAACAGTGAGCGGTACACAGATATTCTCGACCGACATTTACTTCCATCTGTTCACTTGTTCTATGGACATTTTTAGATTTTCCAGCAGGACAACAACCCAACACGTCGTTCAAATCATACACAGGCCTGGTTTCGGACCCAAAATATGACATTATTAGATTGGCCAAGCTATAGCCCTGACCTAAATCCAGTAGAAAATGTTTGGGGACTTATGAAGGAAAGTGTCAATAAGAAACATCTGACAAAAATTGCTGAAATGAAAGAAGACGCGGTCCAATATTGGGACAGCTTGGACTACGACTTTTTAACTTCTTTGATCAGTAGTATGTCCCGCCGCATTGAAGCCTGCATTGCTGCTTATGGTGACTTGACACTATACTTACTGTTCACCTGTCTTTGAATCTGGAGTTATGATCTGCTAATATTCATATTTAATACGTGAGTAATGAGTGAAATTTTTTTTCAAAATTACAATCTTTAAATTCTCAATAATTTCTGGTTGTACTGTATATACAGGTAACAGTGGCAAACCGATGGTAATTTCTTCAGTTATGGCCCACCTCTGTGCCTCCATTGTAATAGTTTATTTCGTCTTGTTCGCTCATGCCCCAGCCAATACATCGTTTTCACTATTAATACTGCTGTCGTTTCAACTGCTATACTGTTGAAGGATCTGACAGATTAACATATTTGCACGAGTGTTGCAAGCATCTATTCACCCATGCAACTAACATTGTCAGGTCTATTCATGACCCACTTGTGGCCCTGTAGAAATATTTGAAGATGGCATATTAACGCTACAAGCACTTCAAACAGTACGTTAATGCTATTTCTGAGTAATTCTGATAGTAACAAGACTCGCACATTGCAGTATTTCATAAATTAACTAAAGCTGTTGACATCCTACAAATACAATTTTGATGAAAATGAATTTCAGTTGTTCGTGTTTTATTTCGAAATGTATATATCTAAATAATATGTTAAAGTAAAAAAAATATAATACGTCTATTCAGTGTAAATCAATTTCTTCATTTAGGAATAGCGGATCATTGTCCTTGAATGCAATGGGGAATTGCAATAATATTTTTAGATATAATAAGTCTAAATACAGGACTCATTTGCCAATTACAAAGTGAAATAAATATTTGCTTAAAGATAAAATGAAACACAATCCCACTATTCCGAAGTTTCACGTTCCACTCACTTGAACTTATATACGTTTATGAACAATATTTAAATGTAAGTGTGTGAGTTTAAAGGTTTTTATGGAAAATGGAGTACCCATCAAAATCATATCAAGGGTGCAGGGTCAACTTAAAGATTTATATATTCTCATTATGAATACTAAAATCCTTAATGGTTATCTATGATGTTAAAAAAGCACCATTTAAACATCTGTTTTGTAGCATGGCTGTTAAAGAATATAACTCTGGAATAGTTTCAAGTTATAATCCGGTAATGAGTTTGAGGGATCATTAAATGTGTATTTCATTCACTTTATTTGTAGCTTCGATTTCATAACATTATTTCATAGATTAACCAGTTATATTGATCAGTAACTGAAATTTACCCAATAGTTAGTACGTTGCGACTGTATATCTGTTTTGATGGTTTGGTAATTTAATAAAAGCAACTATTGGTAAACATTAACCCCAAACAATAATGGTGGAATTAACATCTTCATTCGTTTTATCTTAAATATACTATTCCAAAAAAGAAACCCATAACCCAGAAATCTGTTGCGAAAATGTATTTTCAAACATGTATAACTCGTCCACAAATATGCTTTAGTACATGATTTTTTACATCAGATTAGAAGAAGGTAATGTCTAAATAACCAAGTGGATAATTTTAGACGTTGAGCGCGATGGTGACCACGTACCATGGTCCCGACGTCAGGTCTCCTGGCTCTCAGTCTAAACTCTCTCGTACTCGTTTGACCGGATATCCTCCGAAGTCCAGGTACCCTGGCTGCTGTGTTCTCACCCTTGGCAGTACGATCACGCAAGTGCAGTACCCGGATGTACCGATCTTGGGCTGCAGTAGTGACTCGAGGTCTGCCTGTACGGGGACGGTCATTTGTTATACCTGTTTGGTTGTAACGATCTGCAGAAGTGATATCGTGCTCAGACTAACATTCAGACGCTTTGCAACAGAAAATTGGTAATCTCCAGCGTGCATTCTTTCAATGGTGATGTTCCGTGTCGCAGCGTCAAGACGTGACGTAGTGATTTGACCTTGAAACTCTTTCAAAACGAATGCCGATTTCCGAAAGTAATCTAGATTTTTATTTCCAGACAGTGCATGCTCTTTGCTGCACAATTTCAACTGGAAGATGATTTCTGTTGTGTCGTGGCGATGCCTTTTTAATTCTTGTGAGAAATCTCATCAAAATCAACACTTTCAGGTAATGCAATAGTGTAAAAACATGTAATCAACACTTTCGTTACATATTTTGACGATTGTTTGAACACAATTGGTAATTAATAGATTTTTTAAAATACAAAACGCATATGCGTTTCTTTTTTGCGGATAGTATATCTAGTTGTTTATATAGACAAGTCTATTTAGGTTTATTCAAGATACTCAACAGTAGGATTATTAACCAAAATGGGTGTTCGACTGAAATATATGTGGATCAAATTATAAATAAATGGTCAGAGAAAGCACTCAATTGGAGCCATTACGTTAACAAACGCACATGTGTGTATTTGAATCTCTCATCGTGCAAGGCCATCTCTCTCTCTCTCTCTCTTAATGCAGCACACCTCACGCCGTCAGTTGTCATGTTTGGTAATCACGATTATTACGTGAGTGATAAGTTATAAATAGTTTTCCGGGAAATTCCTATTAGAGAAAAAATCGACAGTTTTATGGGCAGTTGGATATCATCAGCATTGTTCTTCGCATTAATGCCTTTGAAAGGAAGCTGAGAGAAAACAAATGTTAAATTGTTAAAATATATCTTATTCCTAAGATCGCTGGCCACAACTGGTATATGTGCAAAAAGTGTAACATTGAGATGGCAGGCCCTTTTCTAATTTCAATAACATACTCATCGCATTATAATCGCCAAATTGAAATTTTAACGTTAAGACTGAAATCAGCTACACTAGTTCGATTTTCGAAGTGTTTAAATGAATTTCAAATATTGCAAATTAATTCCTTGAGAGTAAATGTTCTATTGCAACAGTAATCTGCATCAGAATCTACGTTTTATTATTTGGAATGCATAATAGTACCCTCAGTATTCAACAATTCTTACTGTAACACTGACAGGGTTCGATTCCCCACGTGTGTGATATGTGAAGCCCATTTCTGGTGTCCCCCGCCGTGATATTGCTGGAATGTTGCTAAAAGCAGCCTAAAACCATTATCACTCCCTCATTCATTCATTTACGCAACATGTAATGGTTACTTTTGGTTCATTTTTATGATTGCCGTAACCATATTTTGTTCGAAAATGGTTTCGGTTTGTTACAGATTTCTAAGAAATCATTAATCCACACAATAAGACTGTCAAACCTATCTAGCATAACGATTGATCGGAAATACCTGGAAACTCAAAATCAATAAATCTCTTCAACACTCTCACCAGCTGGGTGAGGTGATCGTTTCAGAGACCAGCTGTTAGTCAGCAGTCTTCCAGGTGTAGGCATGTTCTATGTGAACAATAAGTTATGTGCCGGGTAATACCGAGACACAGTTTGGGGTGACATTCGTGACCAACTCTTGTGTTCGGGAACAGGCAAAGTGTAGCGCAGATAGGGTTGCGCAACAGAGAGAAAAATGACCGGACTTCACTCCGTTGAACCGGAAGCTGGCAGAGGTAATGGAGGCGAAGAAGGTTTTGATATGCCACGAGGAGCGTTTAATATGTTAAATGAAACATATTTTACGTGACTAATTAATTATTAAATATGAGTTTGGAAATCAACCCTGTGAGGAAATGTGTGTCTTCCTTTGATGGTAGCGATATTTTATTTGGACATTAAAATATTTTTTCGAACCGAAGCGAGGGAAGTACGTTGGCAACCTCACTTCGCTCGCATATAGGAAGATTATCTTTCTGTTTCGCAACTCCATTTGCTACAGTTTGCTTGTGTTTCGGGTCTGGTCTCTCTCGTGGCCATTTTTTGGCGACTGGTTTCCGTGTAAGCGCAAACAGGCATAGTTAAAAGAAAACTTACAAAACTTGTTTACTTTTATAAAACAATGTACGTACGAAGTTTTTGAAAGGCATTTAGAAGTTGGACGAAGATGAATACCTGACAATCAGGTAGGATTAAAGCAATATATATCGGCTTAGCCTTAACAAATACAAATTCTTTACAAATTCTTTATTCTCAGAGTGTATGTAGGTCATCGGCCCATAATACAAATAATACAGTTTTGCAGCCATATATGAATGGCGGTGCTTTACAGCATTATAAATAAACATTGCTACATTTCTGATGACAAAGGTATTGTTTGAGGTCATCAATATTTTGAAATTTGACAAAGAAGAGTATGTGTAAAACAATATAACAATATATTGTCATCTTTCTACATTAATTCTCACTAGTTGGCCTCATGATAATATTTTCATCATTGTACATTCTCCAATCTTGCCTTGTGTAGGCACTCTATATATTCATTCTGTGAACTGCTAAAGCAGAATTAGCTCTGAAACGTCGTGATAAAGAATAAAACAGATTTGTCCATAAAACGTGTCATGTCTTCAACAACAATGTACACAAAGCAATATTCAAACCACTTTACACAGCATTCAATATACAATATTCATTGTAGTCCATGAAAAGGAATTGGGAGTCTGCATTCTTCACTGCAGTCATTGTGTTGGCCTAAGGTAGTCATTCTCGCGTTGAAGGCGGTCTTCGGTTACGTCTATTCGTGAAACTAAGCACTGCTGGATCAGGAAGGTCAGCTTCTTCAAAGCTTCATTTTTACAAACAGACTATAGTTAATCGTACCCTATCTCATAGTCTCAAACCCCACTGTGTCATTTATGCTTGCCTGCACTTGTAACAAGAACAAAAGGAGGTGGCAAAACGAAGAGACCCCAAAAGAATTGTACGGTTGTACGTTATGTTTCGGGTATACGTGTACTATGTACTTTCCTGATATTGAGACATAAGCTGATATGCAGATTGATTGAACACAAACGACTGTGGTTATTTTAGTTTTTATTTCTTATAAACATATTTTAGACATATTCCTGTCTACAAAAATCCGTTCTACAAATTGTCTATAATGTTACGTGAAATCTTCAAAGACCAAATCAGCGAGGGCTTATAAACCAAAAGCTATCCCGTTTAGTGAAATCTTTTTGTTTTTACGACGCAGCCTTCTGTTCTCGTCACCTCCATGTGATATTGCTGGAATAGTGCTATAAGCGGCGTAAAACTAAACTCGCTCACTTACTCTTTGATATGTGTCATGCATATCTTCGCTCAAATATTATGCCTGTCCTACGGGAAACAGTTGATTTAAATATGTCATTATGTTGTAGAGTGTGAAAGCGGACGAAGATGGCTTCATCATCACGAGAAGACATGTCGCTAGCCTTTAGGAACCTTCAAATTGCGGGAGGTTATTCTGAAGACCAAGAAGGATCAGGCTTGAAGTATGCCACGTTAGATTTGAGGACCAAACACCGAAGTGAGAGGCAAACCCGACCAAACGTGACCCGGGGACAGATGTGGACAGATAAAGTTTTTCTCCCAAGCAAAGCAGAAACTGGCTGTGCTCCCGAGGCACTCGTGTGGAAAAGACCGCATGTAAGTTCATATAAATTATGCTAGTAGCACAGCCCCTGCTGTCATAAGGGGCGGTAACTTTGAAACATATCGGTAACATAAGGCCGTCGCGTAGCAGATGCTTTTCATATTTACTGGATAACATTCATTTACGAGTTCAAAGCCTTATTTAGGCGAGTTGTTACATGTTTGTTTACTTAATTCGGTACCCGTGAAGATCCGGGTAAGAATAGGTCTTCAGCAACCCATCCTTAAAAGTATTCATTCTATTTAGCAGGGCTGGCCTCAAACGATCGGAAGTATCATTGATAGGAAAAACATATTCATGATTATAGATATGAAAACTGTGTTATCAATACTAACGTATATCAACTTATGTGACAGAAGAAAGTTAAAATTTCCTCACACTATATACCAAGTTAGGACTTTATTCAGGTTCTGCTTCTAACTCTTGCTCAGGAAGCTGTATTGTTAATAATCCATGCAAAAACATGTCACCACTCACCAGTGATGTGAAATATAATAATTTCTTTCAGAGACACTTTTGGCATTTTTGCTCAAGGTTATGTATCCGATGTTTATCGATGTTTAGTTAACGAGTGAGTGAGCCCCGATACCCTTATCGGGCTTGTCAATACGGTATCGTTTAAAATACGGCTCTATTTCTGTCGCCGTGGTAGGAAAATCATTGCACAAATTACAATATTCATCGTTTGTGTCAGTCCTGCCCTAAGTTGGGTCTTTCATTTCAGGATTTTCTCCAGAATCCACAACTTTTTGTTCATGGTACTGAACGGTATGATGTCAAACAAAATCGGTTTGGCACGTGCTGGTTCTTATCCATGCTGTCAAACCTTGCTGACAAGACTCGATTTTTGAAAAGGGTATGTGTACTTTAAATATTCCTTTGTTGTGTTCCTGGTTATATTGAAAACTAAGCTATATTCCTGGTCTGACAAAAATGAAGTGATAACCTGGAGATGATTTCGTTATTTCGCAAGATCTATTTCGTTGCCATTCGTCACCGCTCGCCCTGTCCCCGTAACATCCAGGAACACGCTATTCGGCTTGTCCCGGAATAACACGAGTTGGTCTCGAATGATGACGCGCAGCGGATTCTCTGAGTTTAGAATGTGGACAAATCTAATGTTGTAACATTTAGCCACCTTGACAATTTTGAATATACTACAGACAATTGTCGCATTTAAGGTGATCAACACTGGATCGTATACTCCTGGGAAAGACGGAATCTGTCATTGCAAGCTATGGAAGTTTGGAGAATGGGTGGACATCTATATCGATGACTCTTTGCCCCTGTATCAAGGGAAGCCGGGCCTTGAGCTCTATGGTGCTGCGTCTGGGACAGCCTCCAACGAACTGTGGGTTTCCCTGGTAGAAAAAGCTGTAGCAAAGTACGTATGTCTCAGATGAGATAACTCATGACCACATGCTTGTTTGTTAATATATTTAAAATGAACATGATAACCGTGCCTTATTTCTCTGTCATATCCAATACCGAAATGTATATATGAGTGTCATTCAGTGTATATCCAGCGATACAAAACGAGAGTATATGAAACAATAGGTCAACAGATGTCCTCTTTGTTTTCTGTTGAAATAATGTTAGACCTGGGTTGGAATTGATCTTCAGCAACCCATGCTTGTCGCAAGAGGCGACTAACGGATTGTTGTTGTCAGGCTGACTTGGTTGACACATCTCAAATGCGTTGATCGATGCTCATGGTGTTGATCACTGGTTGTCTGGTCCAAACTCAACTATTTACAGAGGATCGTCAAATAGCTGGAGTGTGGCGTTAAGCAACGAAGTTACAAAACACAATAGATAACTTGGAGTGATACCAGAATCGACTGTATTTATCTGATGATGTCATCAACATATTCACATTTGAAAGGAGGAACATGTTATCTTCTGAATGCAGTTATTGCAAATATGGCTTCTGTATCCCATAGCTTGATCTCAAAGTTTAGGCGTTTTCTCATTTTCTTGTCTGTTGTGAAAGCATTCAGCTCTCAGTTGTTGCACTGACGCCAGTACGTACGTCATCCAGCGAAATCATCTAGCAACTGGCATGCGGTGACCATGCGGTGACCTGCTTCAAACACCCGATCCCATTAGACACTTTTTTCGACAAGCATGGGTTGCTGAAGAACAATACTAACCCGGTTCGTCAGGGGGCTTTGATTCTGAAACGAAAACAGTCAGTAACAAATATTTGACATCAGTTCAAATCATACACCAGTGAAAATGTAACTGGCAATAAGTTTGCCTTTTATTCATTACATTTTATTGTTCAGGATGTACGGGTCATACTGTGTCGTCGATGGTGGTTGGCCGAGCGACGCCTATCTGGCCCTAACAGGAGGTGTGTCTGAGACTGTTCCGCTTGCATCTTACACATCCCCTCCCGACGATCTGTTCCGACGATTGGACAAGGCACTAGAGACCGGCGCAATGGTGACCTGTGTCATTCTTGTAAGTAATATCTTAAATATATTTATAAATATACATATTTATGCCACTTTGTCTTCCTTCGTCTTTCGTCAGTTATTCTGAATTTCAGTCTCCATGATGAAACAGATTCCCAGCAACATATTCGACGTTAGAGTAGACTCAAGTTATTTAGTAGACGGTAGTTCTTTCCCTTCGAAGATTAAAAATGGGGCGACGACCAGCCCGTTGCCATCGCTATTGTAAAAACAAGCCCTACCCTAAGTCATGGTTTTGCTGTGGTGTCCCAGATGTGACCGTCCCAGATCCAAAGATCCGAATCTTTGATTTGGGCAGCATAAAGGCTCGTGTCGATATATTTTTGAAAAAATAAAGGGAGTAATCATTGTTCCTTAGCTGTGCTGACATCTCCCTTTCTTTGAGATAACTTGTTAACATGGTCACTGTCTCATTTGGAAATTCACCAAACCTTAACTGTTCAACAAACAATAAACATACTTCTGGTAAGTAAACACATTGCTAAGTACTTTTGACCTGACACTGAAGCCTGTTATCACAACTAAATTAACTGAAAGTGAACACCAAATCAACTTTTCCTCTTTAAGGCTAAACAGTTGACCTTAACTAAATTGGTCATTTAAAGTCCATGGAAAATTCATCTTAATTGATCACTTCAACTTGAAGCTACGAATTAAACGTCACTGGTATGTATGCGGAACTATTGCTCTCATAATTCCATCCTTGATGGAGCTACATATATTTTAGGCGTTAAGGCACATCCCTGAACAACACCTGGTGTATTCCAACCTTTCTCTCTCAATCAATCTCAATACGAACTTTGTCACCAGGATTCCACTCTGGCAGAGTTTTCATACTATGGTGTTGGTTGGAGAATTTCTTTGAAGATTCCTTGTGGCAATTGTCATTGTCTCTGACGGCGTGGATATCTAGACACTTGGGCAGCAACACCATCTCTAACACTGACATAGAGCCAAGGGGTTAGACTTGTCCCTGTTCACTGTATTGGAGTACTCCTGTAACTTAACAGAGCGAGAAATTGATCAGTCTGCTTCAAAGCAAGTTTTGCGATTTTCACAACAGCTTCGGCCATACCATTGGCTTGAGGGAAGTGAGGTGAGAAGGTTGTGTGTTTGAATCCATACTGCTTCTTGAATCGCGCCAATTCATGAGTTACAAACTGTCACGAGCTCGTCCGGTATACCCCGTCGTGAGAATATGATCTTGAGCTTTCCAATGGCACCTTTTCATGTAGTGTCCTTCAGGTACACTACTTCAAGATAACGAGAAAATTATTTAATCACTACAAGGTATTGATGTCCTTGAAAGTACATAGATCGGCTGCGACTCTTTGCCATGGTCGATCAGGCAGGGAAGTTGGTTGTAACGGTTCTTTCCTCTGTGCTGATTGGTTAACCTGGGAGAACGTACAGGACGATACTTTTTCCTGAATGTGTTGATTGAGTTTGGGCCACCATATGCTCATTGTGGCACGTTCATGACATTTTGTTAGTCCCTGGTGTTCCTCATGAATTCTGTTGAGAATGTCGATTCTCATACTTTCAGGGATCGCAATCCTGTCTCTGTACAGCAGTATGTCTGTGGACACCTCTGCCAATTTACCTCTGACTGGGTACTATGCTCGTGCTGACATCTCTGTATGTCGCAGGCTATCCGTTCCTAGTCAGAGATATGTGACTACCTTAAGAGTCTTGTCCTGTGTCGTGGCCTCCTGAATCTCTGTGAGTCTATGATCAGACATAGGCTTGGTCTCAAGGACGGACTCTGTGAAGGCTTCCATTTCCTCTACAAGGTTCTGTATAATTGCAAACTGTTCGCAAGCCCACACACTCGCTAGGCATTCATTCTCTATCTGAGAGTACCTAGTCTCAGCAGGAGTTAAGGTGCGTGAACAGAATGCCATTGGCAAATGTTTGTCGCCATGCTCCTTAGCTGTAAGTGCGTGCGTCAGCACTGACGACCATAGTTTTGTCCAGGTCTTAGAACTGCAGGACTAGTGGATTTGTCAGCATTTTTTTTACTTGGTGAATGTTACATCTTGGGCAGGACCCCAGGTCCAAATCGCATCAGTTTTTAGTAGGTCACTCATTGGATGAAGAATGGGTGATACGTTTCTCAATACCGCCCCAGATAGTTTATCATGCCCATGGCTCTCCGAAGCTTGGTGGTATTTGTTGGTGCCGTTAGGTCCCTGATAGCCTGGGTTTTTTCTAGGTCAGGTTCGACCCCGTTTTTGCTAATCACATGTCCGAAGAACCTGATGGATGATTTCCAGACTTCACATTTCTCCCGGTTCAGCTTCAAGCCTGAGCGTTTCATACGTTCGAGGACACTGTTCAATCTCTTGTTCGGCTCCTCGACAGTTAGCCCTCATATTAGGACACCGTCCATAATAGCTTCTGAGCCATAAAGTCCTTTGAGTACTTCTCAATATTTCATCTGTAAAATTTCTGGAGCGGATGTAATTCCGAAGAGCACATGTAAAAACATAAACGACCGAAGGGGGTGATGAAGGTCATCAATAGACTGCTTTCTGAGTGTCTCTGCAACACTGATGTGTCCGCAATCTGTGTCAATGGGATAGGCTTTCCTCCAATCACCAGGCTGACGTGCCAAGCCTTTGCCTCCTCACATTGAACAGATCAAAGGAAAGAACAATCGTTTGTTTCCCTTCATTCACATCATCTGTGTGCTGCTGACATCCGTATGGGACACAACTTGGTGTCGATGAGTTGTTATGTCCTTGCTACCGGGCATGTGACACACTGTTCCTTGATCCACCCTGTCTGCGTCCCCTGTTGCTATGGTGGCTTGACCTGGCATTGTTGTGACGTTTTGGCCGGGCCCCTCTAACTTCATCTAGGTTTGTAGCACCACGGTCAGCACCCTGACTCTTGATCATTTCTGAATTGCGTGTAATCTGTATAGCCGTTTCAAGGTCCAGTTGAGCCTCCATTTGTAATCTTTGTAATCATTTGTAAATATTGGTCTAGAATTCGTGTGACAATTCGATCACGTATGTGTATAGTCTTCATTCATGTGAATCGGCCCATGGTACAACGTTATACATTGGCAGCCTTCAAGCTGCAGCGACGACGATTGTTAGCATAGAAGATGAACATGGCAAGATTTCTTAAAACAAGAGGAGTAGCATTACTCAGCAGTCGATTAAATTTACACAAGGTTGGATGGGTGAAAACATCGACAGGGATAAAACGTTTACGTAGATCATCATTGGCAGTACAAATATGTATGTATACAAGTATGTATTCGCCCTTTTTGTCACCAAAATCCCAATATTCAGCAAGTTCCTATAGGTGACGAATAAATGCTTCAACAGATTCACGTGGTTGTTATGATCTCTAGTTAAAACGTGCTCTCTCGTGATTCACGTTTCTCTCCGGGATAAAGTGATGATCAAACTGCTTCAACACGAAATTGAAGTCTTTCTTTTGTCCTCTTTAGATAAGTGAAACGATTTCATGATATGTTCTGCCTCTCTCCCCATCGCGTAGACGAGTGAACTTACTTGTAATTCACAAGCCTCATCTTTGTATTTAGACAGCGTGAAAAAGCGAGGAAAACGTTGTTTCCACTCGGGCCACTCTTGCGGTTGCTCGAAGGTGAAATTATCCGAGGCCTTGAATTCAGACATGACGTGCAAATTAATCACAGTTTATGGCACAATGTCACTTACAAAGTTCATTCAGGGCATCGGCGTGGCTTCTTACATAATTCCTTTTGACACCATGTTTCGAAAGGACCAAACAATGGCGTGTTTCCATTCATTTTATTGACCATGAGTCGGGTACACTTTCATAAAGGCGCCTGACATAACATGTGGTTTTCACCGCGAATGCGCGTTCATACAAAACGTTTTAGAAACATCATAAACAGGTTTTCATGAAACATTTCACTGAGAAACCCTTAGAAAGCGTTGTAAAAACGCTGTTCATTAGCTGGGCACCCCTGTGAAGCACCAGGAACTGCGGGCAACTGCAGAATGAGCTCCGTTTACAGCAACAAAATGTCGTCATAACACTCCTCTTTCCAGTAGATAGTGGAATTTATATACATATATCTGTGTTTTAATCACCAACGACTTGTTATTAGCTAGGATAGAAATTGATTGATTTAATCACAATAGAGTTAACAAAACAGTTGATACCAGTTGGTGTCAAGAAGCTTGTCTATGTCACAACATGACAATTAAAACATATCAGAAGCTGTACAGACATTCTTGCACTTTATCTATTGAATCTGATGGCTACGTTTGTCATTCTTTTGACTTTAGACTTCTAGGTTTCAAGTTTGCATTTGTAAGGTGATGTCAGATGAATAGTTTTATGATCCGATGTTCCGACTTGAGTCTTGGCATGTGACTTGTAGGCATTCTTCAGATTTTCATGGCACAGGTCCAATGTGTTATTCTGTATGCAGGAAACTTCAAATTCTGAAGATAACTAAGGAGAACTTAGCACTTCTCCGAGAACATACAGACGATTTTCTATGGCAACAATATAAGCACCATCAACATCAGTGAGAATACACACGACTGTACATAATGAACACTTGTCCAAATTCTCAGGATAAATAGCATAGGCGGGGGCTTTACACATCAGTGCAATACCTTTTGTAGAAACTGTACTACACATAGTTTTTTAACATTCTTCCGTTTTTGTGTATACAAATACCATCCAAACAGTTTTTCTAGTGTTCTGAACGTTCCTATTAAAACATATTGTTGGGCGCGGTGGGCGAGCTGGCTAAGGCGCCAGGCTAGTGATCCAGCGAGGTTGAGGTGTCGGGATCGAGCCCACCTGTGACCGGGTGTAAAAACATTGGAGTCAACTTTGTGTGCAGACTCTTTCAGTGTTGTCACAACCCCTAGTGTACAGTACACAACCCTGTGCACTTAAAAGAACCCACGAATCCGTTGGTATTTGACCAGATGGTGGCCACATGAATACGTACCAACACCTAGTTGCACAAGGGATCGATATTTCAGTGTAAAACCAATGAAGGATCTATTTAACCAGGTCAGTATCATTTAATAATTGTGTTTTAAAAGAAAGTGAATTGCTCTGTAAACGTTTGATATATACTGAGTCAAAAAAGAAACTTTACATTCTTTCTTCAGGGCACTATAAAAGAACAAGAAATGGTAAGATGGTTAAATTGTTATTATTTCATTGCTGAGATCTGTTTGATGTACTCGATACACTGACAGTGCCATAATCAGTTCCATTAGGCTACACCGCCGTTCCAAAACATGGGTATACAGAATGTCAAGTCACAAGAATAACAATGCGAAATTTCTCAGTTCAATATCGTGTATGGCCGCCCCGCGCATTCACCACTGCCAAACACCGTCTCCTCACCGACTGCCTGATGCTTGTGAACACGTGGTTGGGGATTCTGCTTCATTGCTCTTGCAAGGCAGCGCCAAGTTCCTGCAAATTCTGAGGTTGGTTCCTAAGACCACAAAGCCTTCTCCCAAGTGCATCCCAAACGTGCTCTATTGGATTAAGGTCAGGGGACCTCGATGGCCAGTCCATGACGTTGATTCCAGCGTTTTGAAGGAAATTTCGTGTCAACATCGCGGTATGCCACCGAGCATTATCATGCTGGAACTGTAGACCTGGGCCATGAGCCGCCATGAAAGGAACGAGTTCAGGGGTGAGCACCTGGTCGCGGTAAGCAGCAGCTGTGAGGTTTCCAAGGATGACCAGAAGTCGGGAACGGTTGTTCCCACAGAAAGCACCCCACACCATGCAACTTCCGCCCCCGAATCTGTCTACTTCCTGTACACAACATTGGGCCTGCCGTCCGCGAATCTGAGGGTAAACCTGGATTCATCGCTAAAGACGACTCGATTCCAGTCTCTCTGGGTCCATCGAAGGTGACGTTGGGCCCACAGCAGACGTTGACGTTGATGAAACGGCGTCAATATTGGCCCACGATATGGACGTCGAGAATGGAGATTGGCAGCCCGCAACCGATTTCGAATGGTCTGTGAGGACAGTCGACCTCTAAACATCTCAGCCCTGGTTCGTGTAGCCAGCAGAAATCTGTCACGTAGGTGACGTAGGACGATTTGAAGGTCTTCTGCTCGTGACGTCATACGTGGACGACCCGACCTTGGGCGATCAGAAGTGGTGCCAGTTTGTCCCATTGCTCTTGCGACGTCAATAACTGATCTTCCCGCTTGCAACATGCCAACGGCACGTACACGTTGCACGTTTGACAATCGTGGCATTTCAAGTACCGTTAGAACTGTGGTTTGAAAGTGTTTTTTCAATTCTTGAGGCCAATGCAAACACGTGCATATGAAGAAAACTTCGATGCAAAGATCACGTGATCGACTGCATGTGCAAAACCTGATTTGGAACGAACGTCATTTGCACGACGAATGGATGGGTTTGAGTGGGTTTTGCTAACGTTTTTCTAGAGTCGAAAGATAGGGATCCCATTTCGGATACATAGATGTATCATCAGAGAAAACGTATTCATTATTTTTCAAATTACAATTTGTGAAGTTTCTTTTTTGACTCAGTATATATGTTTTGTAAGTATATGAACAGCACAATCGCCAACGGCTGAAGCGATGGTGTCAATCCATCAAGGGTCCATGCAGGAACCAAACGACTCTATGGTCCTTAGTATGGTGACATATCTTCGATTTGTAGCTTGTTTTATTATGTTTTACAGATTGAGGATAGTATGCAGCAGAGAGGGTTCGGGTGATCCTGGCACAGTCAGGCTGGTAAGGCTCATCATCAGCTTAGGGCCCTTGCCCCCTCTACACGCAGCCCAGACAGCAATTAGGACTTCTCCCAGGAAACGCTGCCTAGTCGAACCCACCAGGAACTTTCCGGAGAATATGAAGGCTCCCCAACACTGCAGCCTTCTGCATTACCCAGAGTGTCAGAAGGGCTGTACTCCCGGTGGAGAACCCGGGCACTCTCCTGATCTGCGCCAAGAGATCAGGAGGTACCAAACCAAGAGCACCGAGAACAATGGGGAGCCTGGCGACAATGTACTTGGGATGCAAGCGAGACATTTCAAAGGCGAGGTCCGCATATTTATCATGCTTTTCCTTAATCTTGCCAATCACATTGGTGTCAAAAGGGACAGAAAATTCAATGATATAAATAAATTCATTGGCTTTATCAAAAAGAACAAGTTCAGGTTTGTTGGCTGGAATTCTTCTGAGGATGTATATAGGCCTATTCCAGAGAAGATTGAAAGCATCATTTTCCATGACGCCCTGGACATCAGGGTCGTACCATGGATGGACCTCGGAGTCAAAGCCACAGGCATGGCGGGACGGTAGTAAAAGCAACGAGCCATGCCATAATGTCGTTTAAGATATGATGTTTGTGCCAAGGAAGGGCATCCACTGACAAGGTGTTGGACAGTCTCCGTGAATTCATTGCAAAGTCGACATTTCATATTGATTTTTTCTTTAAGAATCACATTTAGGCGATTGCGAGTGGGAAGTGACTGGTCCTGAGCAGCTCTCGCACACTCAAGTAGTGTGGTTTTAAGGTGTATTATTATTATTATTATTATAGGATATTTATATAACGCACATATCCACGCATCTAGTGCTTGTTCAAGGCGTGAAAACGCCTTGAGCAAGCACTAGATGCGTGGATATATATGTTGTATTGGTTGTAGATTTACATGCTAGTTTTACATCTATATCTGTGATTTTCTTGTTGTTTTAAATGTAGACAATAAGTTCTTCAACATGTTTGTATATTCTCGATTTATGTGTCCTGAATGTATAGCGTGTATTGGTGACTATTGGTCTTGGCTGAAATACTGCCGATGTGACTAGAAATCTTAACTCACTCACTCACTCACTCATTAGGCTATAAGCTGCATGCAAAGCTTTTTAGCAAAACATATATCATTGTAACATAACATATTTTATAGATTAAACATAAAGTATTCGTGAAATATATCATATTCGTCACAACGTTTATTGAATGCAGTCCCTAAGTTTTCACAAATCTGTCCATTTTCAGGAGGTCACAGACTATTGTTATTTCACTGACTTGTCACAGTGAAGCAGTTGCTCAAATAACCATATATTATGACTACGTCTCTCGTTTAAAGTCCACATCGAACGATGAAATTCGGTTCACGTACCTTGCCAAGCAACACATAATATCATGAGTAGGGATTCTAAACATCAGCCAGCTGACTTGTTGACGTTCCAACATGTGTTCCATCCTGTGAATAAAGCTCAAATATCAGTCAGTCCATTGTCTACAAATGCTTGATATTTTTCAACACATGTTTGTTACTCTCCGATATAACCAGCTACCAAGTGTCGTTTCGTTTCAGAAAGATTATGCAGGTAAACTTGGCCTGTTGGGACCACATGCCTATGCTCTGAACAAAACTGCCAAGGTAAAGACAACTAGTTCAGTATTATAGATCATAGATAATATCAACATTATTGTATTTTGATACCTGGACCTATTTTGTTTCTTTAATTCTCTGTTTTCATTGCTAAACATGCATCATAAACCTCAGTTGCCGGTAGAGACGTGTCTTTTCCATCGTTAGGTGAACTATTGTAATTAATGCCTAAGGGACAAAGTCCTATAATACGAACAGGCACTAATCATATTACACTACAGCATATGATGACTCCACGTACATTTCAATAAGTGAAAAGGTGAAGTTAAGCATTCTCACTCCTGGTATCAGATACGATAGGTATAACTACAGGATCTTTAGTATTTATGGCGTGCGTCGCGTGTCAAGTAAACAGAAGGAAAATATCGTTGATGTGGTGTATTATTCTATGTTTAGATATTTGGGTATGCATTTGGTCTGAAGTAAACAGAAGAAAAATATCGTTGATGTGTTGTAGTGTTTTGTGTTTAGATATTTCTATATAGATTTGGTCTTGATTAATAGAAGAAAAATATCGTTGATGTGCTGTAGTGTTTTGCGTTTAGATATTTCTATATAGATGTGGTCTGGAGTAATAGAAGAAAAATATCGTTGATGTGCTATAGTGTTTTGTGTTTAGATATTTTTATATAGATGTGGTCTGGAGTAATAGAAGAAAAATATCGTTGATGTGCTATAGTGTTTTGAACATCTGAAATGTATGATGTAAATGTAGGTGCTGACATACCGCAATGATGTTGTTTCGATATGGGTCGGGTCTGAAGTAAACAGACAAAAATATCGTTGAGGTGCAGTAGTGTTTTGTGTTTAGATATTTCGGTATTGTAATTGACGAAAAATATCGTTGATGTGCAGTAGTGTTTTGTGTTTAGATATTTCGATATGGGTCGGGTTTGAAATAAACAGACAAAAATATCGTCGATGCGCTGTAGTGTTTTGTGTTTAGATATTTCTGTATAGTAATTGACGAAAAATATCGTTGATGTGCTTTAGTGGTTTAAACAGACAAAGCTAACGTTGGTGTACGTAGTGTTTTGAACATCTGAAATGTTTCATGTAAATGCAGGTGCAGAGATACAACGGTGAAGTTGTTTGTCTGATCAGAATAAGGAATCCCCATGGTAAAAACGAGTGGACAGGCAAATGGAGTGACCAGTAAGTTTGTTTCGTGTCAGATGTCAACCTTTCCTTTATGGAGTATTTTGCAGTTTGTAGGGTACATGTTGCCCAATCATACAATTCGAGTGGAAATATGCATCCATTTGGCGAACCCAGTGTTCCACAAAAGGTTTCCTGTTCTTCAGCAACTTGTCCGTGCCGTTGGACGTCGCCGAGGTTATATTTCGTTCCTCATATATCAAGCTGACGCGCAGGATAGAACTGATAAATAGTTCAACCCCAAAGTAATTCACCCAATAAATATTTCACAGTGGATTCATAATTTAGATCTATTAATTATAGCAATTCATTGTATAATTACTATTCAAATGTCACTGTATTCACAAATACATCATCCACGAGCATGAGCTTTTGAAAACATATTTTTAACACGTCAAAACTTTGCATGGGCATTGGAAGTCCACTAAACGTGGAGTTACGCTCGCTGCATGAACAAATTAAACATGGTGAGGAAATCAAATATTTCAACACCGCTTCGTCACAGTTTTTATTTATTCATTCTCACCATAGTTCAACACAGTTTGTGACGAAACCGGGAAAAGAATAAAGGGGCAAATGTGACAGAAATGAACTACATTGTTTCTTTTTTTAGGACACTCGTAAGGGCTCGAGTTTAATTCGAAGAATTCATCCTTTGTTTTGCAGGAGTTCTGAATGGGATACTTTGGCCAAAGGCAAAAATTTGAGACGAATTAGAGATGAAGGGGAGTTCTGGATGGAACTGTCAGACTTTATGCAAAGATTTACTCAAACTACAATTTGTTCCATGACTGTTGATTTCGACAAAGATGGACAGTCCGATCCTTTAAGTGAGTAACCCCTGAATACAAGAATGTCTGTCTCTATCTGTAGATGTACAGAGCGTATTGAAATGGGTGTCCTGACAAACAGGTTGGTGGTGTGTTGTCCTGTACATAGAGCTCAGATCACAAATCAGTTGCAGATAAGCAGGGTTGGGCACGGTGATTCCGTGTATGGGTGACCGTGTTTGTAAGCTTGACTCCTGAGAGTTTCAAGGACTTCAGTCCTGCCCCACAACAAGTAGTATCACGTTAGGCAAGTGAGTTTGTTCAAAATTGCCTCTGTTCACCCAGCAGGAAATGGGTACCAGTAGGGATAAGTCATGTGACTTTTAATCTTCTAGCACCTAACATGCAGCTTGGGTTATCCAAGGTGATAATGTGTTAGCACCTTGAGCATTCTTATGTGTGGATGTGTGCTCATTATCAATATTCACTATTATTATTATGTTTTACAGATTAAGATGAAAAACGCAGGGTTCGGGTGATCCTGGCACAGTCAGGCTGAGAATGCTCATCATCAGCTCAGGGCCCTTGCCCCCCTCTACACGCATCCCAGACAGCGAATGGGACTTCTCCCAGGAAACGCTGCCTAGTTGAACCCACCAGGAACTTTCCGGAGAATATGTAGACTCCCCAACACTGCAGCCTTCTGCATTACCCAGAGTGTCAGAAGGCTATGCTCACAGGGGAGACCTCGGGCACTCTCCTGATCTGCGCCAAGAGATCAGGAGGTACCAAACCAAGGACATCGAGAAGAATGGGTAGTCCTGACGACAGTGTACTTGGGATGGAAGCGACACATTTCATTTAGCATGCTTTTCCTGAATCATGCCAATCACGTAGCTGTCAAAAAGGGACTGAAAATTCAATGATATAAAGAAATTTAAAAGCATCATTTTCCATGACGCCCTGGACATGTTCATGGACGTTCCATGGATGGACCTCGGAGTCACAACCACAGGCATGTCAAAGACAATAGAAGCAGCGAGCCATGCCATCATGTCTTTTAAGATATGATGTTTGTGCCAACAAAGGGCATTCGCTGACAAGGTGTTGGACAGTCTCTGTAAATTCATTACACAGATGCCATTTCATGTTTCTTTAGAATCACACGACCGACTCTGGGCAAAAGTGGTGAAGGACTGCACCTGGTTTACTCCTATCGCTGCGCCGTCCAGCAGTGACAAAATCAACAAAATCAACTTCAGATTTCAGATTCTGTCCAACAACCTTGGCACGCTTCAATTACTGTGGAAGTCCTTGCGTTCATCACGAAAGACATGCATCACCAGAGGTTTATCTGATAAATAAATATGTGCAAAAGTACGCAATAAAATTATATCATGAAGAGCCTCCACATTAATCCAAAAACAACTTCCCGAATCGATTAGCATAAACGATTAAGAGAGAAACGAGGATGGTGGGCTCTGTTATCAAACATGATACTTCTGGACAGGCGGTCAAAACTCTAGATTTATTATATTATTATATGTAAGTGAGTTTGGGATTAATTAAAACCTAATACTGAAATCTGTACTGAGTTGAGAAGAGGATGAAGAAGAGTAGAAACTTGCCAGTGTTTCCAACTTAATTTCAAGAGATGCATGACGCCAAGTCTTTTAAGGCTCCACCCCTTGGGCACGACAGAAACGTATGATCGTGATTTCGAGGCTTGGTTCGTCTGATTATGTTTCTTAGTTTCAAACACCACAGCCGTGCTGGTGGTAAACGAGATCTGCTTCACCTTCCGTCTTTCCTCCAAACTAAGCTGACGTTCATTTGCAACTTGAATACTGTTATCACATTACTCCGCACTGAATATTGCATGGTAAAGTCAATTCATTCATAAGGTAAAAATATCTTGGACAGGGTCGTGGGAAAACTCCTAATGCAAACGTTTTGCTGTGTTAAGTTTTAGTAATATTTTGTTCGATATAGTATTATCAAAAGGGGATTCTGGTTAGGGTGTTTGTTGTCTGTTTTGTATTATCAAGAGGGGATTCTGGGTAGGGCTTTTGTTGTCTGGTTTTTGTTTCGGCCATTGTTTTTTATTATGATGCAGCTGGTCTGTTCTTAAAACACCTGTGTGACCTCATTATGTTTATGTGTGTGACCTTATACTGACCTTATAACGCAGGGACAGAAACTTCTGGAAGCTATGACCTCATGACACAGGTGCGTGACTTAATTACACAGAAACACAACACAAAACACAATAGCATGTGTATTATACAGTAATTATTGTATACAATCATTCTGGATGTGTAGTGTATACATTAGGTGCAACAACACAAATCTGTAGACATTTCTATCACAAATACATGATTCTTATTTACCAAAATACTACTTGCCAACTACTTCACGGTTCAGTGAATTTCTATAGATGCATGAAAGGTATTGTGTTTGACTGCTCAGGGGTCGCCTCACGAGGCGTGTGCTCACTATGTTGAACGTCTTCACCCTGACTCTTGATCATTTCTGAATTGCGTGTAATCTGTATAGCCGTTTCAAGGTCCAGTTGAGCCTCCATTTGTAATCTTTGTAATCATTTGTAAATATTGGTCTAGAATTCATGTGACAATTCGATCACGTATGTGTATAGTCTTTATTCATGTGAATGTAGGCCATCGGCCCATGGTACAACGTTATACACTGGCAGCCTTCAAGCTGCAGCGACAACGATTGTAAGCATAGAAGATGAACATGGCAAGATTTCTTAAAACAAAAAGAGAAGCATTACTCATCAGTTGATTAAATTTACACAAGGTCGGATGGGTGAAAACATCGACAGGGATGAAACGTTTACGTAGATCATCATAGGCAGTACAAGTATGTATGTATACAAGTATGTATTCGCCCTTTTTGTCACCAAAATCCCAATATTCAGCAAGTTCCTATACGTGACGAATAAATGCTTCAACAGATTCACGTGGTTGTTATGATCTCTAGTTAAAACGTGCCCTCTCGTGATTCATGTTTCTCTCCGGGATGAAGTGATTATCAAACTGCTTCAACACGAAATTGAAGTATTTCTTTTGTCCTCTTTAGATAAGTGAAACGACTTCATGATATGTTCTGCCTCTCTCCCCATCGCGTAGACGAGTGAACTTACCTGTAATTCACAAGCCTCATCTTTGTATTTAGAGAAAGTGAAAAAAAAGAAAGAAAACGTTGTTTCCACTCGGGCCACTCTTGCGGTCGCTCAACGGTGAAATTATCCGAGGCCTTGAATTCAGACTTGACGTGCAAATTAATCACAGTTTATGGCACAATGTCACTTACAAAGTTCATTCGGGACATCGGCGTGGCTTCCTACATGATTCCTTCTGACACCATGTTTCGAAAGGACCAAACAATAACGTGTTTCCATTCATTTTATTGACCATGAGTCGGGTACACTTTCATAAAGGCGCCTGACATAACATGTGGTTTTCACCGCGAATGCACGTTTATATAAAACATTTTAGAAACATCATAAACAGGTTTTCATGAACAATTTCACTGTGAAACCCTTAGAAAGCGTTGTATAAACGTTGTGTGTTAGCTGGGCACCCCTGTGAAGCACCAGGAACTGCGGGCAACTGCAGAATGAGCTCCGTTTACAACAACAAAATGTCGTCATTGCACTCCTCTTACCAGTAGATAGTGGAATTGATATACATATATCTAGTACAATTTATATACATATATCTGTGTTTTAATCACCCACGACTTGTTATAAGCTAGGATAGAAATTGACTGATTTACTCATAATAGAGTTAACATAACAGTTGATACCAGTTGGTGTCAAGAAGCTTTTCTATGTCACAACATGACAATTATAACATATCAGAAGCTGTACAGACATTCTTGCACTTTATCTATTAAATCTGATGGCTACGTTTGTCACTCTTTTGACTTTAGACTTCAAGGTTTCAAGTTTACGTTTGTAAGGTTTTGTCAGATGAATAATTTTATGATCCGATGTTCCGACTTGAGTCTTGGCATGTGACTTGTAGGCATTCTTCTTCACGGTTTAGTAACATTTCTATAGATGCATGAAAAGGTATTGTGTTTGACTGCTCAGGGGTCGCCTCACGAGGCGTGTGCTGACTCTGTTGAACGTCTTCACAAGCGGCCAACCTGCTAATTCCTAGGCTGTTATCTATACAATGGAACAGCTCAGCGGTTGCAACTCTATTGTTAGCTAAACTATATTTTAAGCAGTTTGTAGCCCGCCTCACTCATTGATAAAACGTATTTATTGAGGGCATTTTAATAGGTGTGAGTTGCCAAGCGCTTAAATTGATAAAGACGCCATGCATGGTGAACATGTAGGGTACCTTCAGTGAATTTGTGTACATGTTTGAACACACAGATTGAATGGGGTGGTGTGTTTTTTTTATTCTCGAATACTGACCATCAAAAGTGCATACCATTCGCATTTCCCACTCAGTGAAGTTACAGACTTTGTCTCGATGTACGATGGCCTCGGTATAAGAACTATTATAAATGTTTGCGAGAAAAAGGCAAACTAGTCTATACATCTAGTATACAAGAGGGATAATGGGGGATTCGGCAGGCCATGTTTGTGTCATCTGGTGAAAACAGCTTGACAATATCTAGGTGTATTATGTTATAAATATTCTACGTGTGAATCCTGGTAAATATCTGACAACTGGTCACATCCCAACTGTCATCTGGAAAGTGTTAACGTTTGAATGATGAAGCAGTTCATCCAAGACATCAATAGTGAATGCTATTTTCACATTCCTGTATCTAAATATTTTTGTCTTGCCCATTAATTAGTTGTACAGTATTTAAACCTTCCTGGTGCTAATCAATAATCATTTTGATTATAATAACCGATTTAAAGGCCTAGTGGCAGTTGATTGATCAAGGTAGAAAGCCCCTGTTTTCCATTTACAATACATGGTCCTTAGAGGGGTGGTCTACCTTCAGTTGTTGGGGATCCTGAGTCTTTTTTATATTGTATTGTCCTAATCTGAAATCCTATTTTAGAGATATATGCTAGTTTTATGTCTTTATATTGTGATATTCTAGTTGGTTTTACTGTCCTTCGATAACAATTAAATGTTTTCATCACGATATGGCTGAAATATTGCTGGTGTAACGATAAATTATTACTCACTCACTCACTCCATTTACAATAATATCAGGTTGCTCTCTCTCTCGTTCCTGAATCTTTTTACTTTGATTTTTTTTTAAAAATCAACGCCCGTCACGATATGGCTGAAATATTGCCGATGTGACGTTAAATATTAATTCCACAAGGAGTATTATATGATTAACTACTGGTGTAAGCTTTTTGTGACTGGTAACAGTATTTTATGGGGTTGTTTAGAGTATCTTGTATGAGGAGGTGGAGACTTGTGATGAACAGCATTGGGTATATCCGGTTAAATGTATTTTGACAGGCATTGGATTCAGTGAAATATGGTTAAGGCAGGAATTGCCAATAGATTATTTATCAGTTATAAAAAAAATTAATGATCTTTACTCAGTTGTACAATTAACAGTTGATTAATATCAGTCTTCCAACAATAGATATACATCATATGATAAACAAACAAGAAAGATATGCAAATTTCATGTAATATTTATAAGATCTGTTTCCATCAGTAGACATTAGGATAGGAGCATTCCCAAAATCTACTCTATATCGTTTGTGAATAACAATGTCTCATTCCCCCTCTTCCTCCTCCTGTTCCCTCTCTGTATCAGATATCATGTCTGCATCGTCATCTTCAGTCAAGTCTTCCACCCAAAATTTATTTTTGTACAGTTTTGAAAACAATTCATGAAATATATTATTCGTGTCTTGTACTTACTACCGTATGTCTTCCTTTTGAGACCCAGTTGATTTTGAGAAAGTTGATTTTAGGTTTTAGGTTCTTTGTAAGAAGAAGAAGGCTGTCCTTGTTCTTCTTTTCTCTTTTGTTCTTCCAAGATATTAGGCAATTCAGGACCATACAGTTCCAGCATTCTATCTACAGACAGCATACCTGTTCTTTGACCACCTCCTACAACAGAGTAATAGGGATCAAGTTGACCTTTGGCTTGTAACATATTGCATCGAGTCTATTTTTCTGTATCATGCACAAACAGATTTCATTTTGGGGAATATTCAAGATGAAAACGGCCACTGCACCGGTCCACAGATAAATGAAGCTGGATTGACCGTGTGCCCTTCTATATAGATTTCCACAGTCTTAATGGAGCTTTGACCTTAACAACATCACTACCAGAATGGTCTGGATCGTAATGGATCTTATTCATGTACTCTTCCCAGGGAGCCATGACTCCAAATAACGAGAAGATTCAAAGACTAAACTATTTACAGGAAACAGATCTCAAATGACATTCAATGTTCAATGTTTTATTCAGGTATAAAAAGCAAGGTACAATATTTACAACAACAACCTTTCACGGACATAAAGGTTTTCCCCCAGCCATTTCTAAGGTTGATTAATATCAGGATGAGCTACATAGTTTCCTATTTCCCATCTGTTACCAAAGGGCTACGTCAGCTTACTGCTTTGGTAGGATTCAGTCAATACATGTTTCAAGTCATTGTTCTGAGAAAATTTAGCCATTAACGCCTTAGTCATAACATGAAGGCTGACAGTGTCCCACACTTTGTGAGTAAAGGCTTTCACACATGTCCCAAGACGTTTTTTGCTTGGCTGGTGCAATCTCTTGTAAAATACTTACAAGTGTATGATCACCAAAGCAAATTGTCTTGGACTTCCATCCACAAAACAAATGGTCAGTCACTCCAACATGCATTGTCATTAGGGATACAGAAGGAGCACATTAAAGTTCCAATCTGATTTTGATGATCTGATCTTCCTGAAAGAGACAGGGAACCATGTCTTTTAGTTCGGGCACAAAATCTGTCATCACATCACAACAGTCTCTCAATATTCTTTACTGGTCTAGACACAAGAAGATACTCTTGGAAGTAGGTACGACTTTGTCTTTGATCTTTTCCCCATTGTCTGAGATCCACACCATGCTGCTCCAATGTAGCATACATGTTAGCCCCCACATATGCAGAAGAACCTGAGGGACCAGACTTCATGAGATCTTCTATTTGCTAGAACACACTCGGTAGTTCCAGCCAGTGTTTGCAAGGTGAGTACACTGCCACTTCGAGTAGGATAACTTCTCACACTAAAATATACATCATACTTCCTGATGTGAATATTCAGTACATTATCCCAAGACTAGGCTGTCACGAACACATGTTCACCAAGATCCAGATGACAACGGAGATCCTGTGACAGGGTCAACTACTTGTCAGTAGGGTCAGTGTCTCAAGACTCAGCCATTTCAAGGTTTCTTTCTCTCAACTTTCTTCAATGCTTTGCAGAACAGGACGTAAGCTTGGAGCCCACGTCTAGGTAGGGTACACAATAATTCTGCAGCACTGTCAAAGGAGGTTTGAGTTTTTTCAATAATATCAGCCTTCATGAAGTACGTTATGACTTCAAATTGTACCAGTTTGTTGACCACATTATCTACAAATTGTATAGCTGTCACTAGTCCACAGTGATTCTTCCTGAGAATATCATGGTGAACTGCTTCTATTTACTATGTGCAAACAGAACCAGTAGAATCAAGAGTCTGGAATGGTTTTCTCGGAGGATACATTCACTTCAAAGATTCAGTTGAGAATGAATTTTTCAAACACTGTTTGGAGACCTTATATTGCCAAACCAGATTCTAAAGAGGTCATCCAGGTGTTTAACTAGATCACACAGGTGTGAGAAACAAAATGGTAGACTTATGCCATACCCCCCTGTGTACAACAATCAGCAATATGTCCAATAATTGACATCTTGACCATCGACCTATCCAACATGGATTTGATGACATTCATTTGACAAGCAAATTGTTTTGTAAATAAAAAGTGTTCCTCTATTCACGGCATGGGTTGTTGTAGATCCTGATATGGGCAGGTGGGTCCACTGCCATCCATACGCTTGCGGTTACTTAACTGATTATGTCGTGAAACATTTGACCAATTATTTCAGACACGTCATATATTTCCGACTACATGAATGCAACGAAGGGTGGTGGGGAAGAAGTGTTGGTAAACGTGTCTACCCGTCACCATTTCGATTCCCCTCGTGAGCACAATGTGTGAAGTCGATTCCTGGTTTTGCCCGATAATTTTGCAATATTGATATAAGCGACATAAAACCTAACTCGCTCACACAACCAGCTCCATGAAGATCGCGGGTTTGGTTAAACGGTCATTTGGATTATGTGATTAAACTGGGTAATTTCGTTTTTTGTGTGTAATTGTATCCCATTGGCGTGGATAATTGTTCAGAACATAAATCACTAGATTGTCTCATCGTGTGTATAGATTTCACTTTCAAAGATAAGAAAACACTTTTGGAATCACCTACAATTCTATCTGGTCAATTATATTGCCTTATACTGTACGATGTATCAATTTCATACTTTCATATAAATACGAAACTCTAAGAGGCTACACAGCTGCAAAAACAATATATTCCTACATTCGAGGGGTGGTGGGGTAGCCTAGTGGTTGAAGCATTTGCTCGTCACCCCTAAGGCCCGGGTCCGATTCATCACATGGGTACAACGTGTGATGCCCATTTCTGGTGTTCTGTGATGTTGCTGGAATATTGCTTCAAGTGGCGTTAAACAATACTCACTCACTCACTCCTACAGTTGTGCGATTTCATTACTATAAGCAGTGATTGATATCTTGTGGATCAGTCTTTCATAAGTCATGCTCTAATCAACTTGAATTCATCTCTTTTATCGGAAATATGTTAATGGGATTGTTATATTTATTCATATGGTATTCATAATTTAAAATTAGAAGTTATAATATCCTTGATTTTATTTTTGCATTTACACAAGATTTGTATCTGAGTATTTGGAGGTGACTTACCAGAGCAGATGTTTTGAGTGGGTAATTTGGCTTAACGGCGTCATCGTTGCTCAGAATGGCCGTGGCAGAGTGGATCTTTGCTCACAATATCTATCACTGGATCGATTCGATCATTTAGAAACTGCAATCCCATATCACTAAGCAATCAATAAAACAACTTTGTTTAATGATTTAGTACAATACGTGTATGACTATAAGTCAAAGGCAGCAGGTTAGAATCCTCTTTGAGTTGTTTTCGTGTTTAAAAGTGCCCAATTTATCAAATGTTTCTTCCTTTTTGTCAGACTATGTGCTCAGGATATTTGGAGAGTGGGGAACGGAAGTGACAGTCATCGTCCCAAACATCTGCAAGAAGCCGGAGTTTTCCGACAAGTATAGAGGTTGTAGTGTTAATTAATTCTCTTACTCTGATGTCATTGTTATGTTTCAAAGTCTCAACAAACGATAAATGTTTTATGCAATGTTGTGTTTTTGGACGGTTCAAAAAGACACAAGGAGCTCGTGTCAGTTAGGTTAAGGACAGAATATGTAAAACAATAATATTCGTGGCACTGAGCGTTTTCGACAATTTGACATTTTTCATACATAAAGCTTCGTTCCGGAAGTGACGTCACAATTTCTATCTCCACACGCAGAATCTCGCAGGTGACCTTGAACTCAGCCACAAATCAATGTCACTCTCCTACCTGTGGAATTATCATAGATTTACATTCAAAGTATCGGTCTCGTTCGAGGGAAATCTCAATACATTTTGAGTACTTCTTGCTGGAACTGTTTTCTTCAGTGTAATAACATAGGAATTCTGGCATAATAGTTTGTATTTTTATAATTTATAAAAACATCTTTCAAGAATATGTCCAGAAATAGTTTGGTCTGTGTTGCTACAGGATATTTATTGGTTACCGCGTTTTAATAGCATTTAATTTTCCAACAGTAGGGAAATATTTTCAAGAGACTAAGAAGTTGTGTTGATGAAAGTGTGTTTCATACACAACTGCGAAACCAACCTTAAAAAATGTTATGAAAATGTTATGTGTTGGGAAATTATTTCTACTACTTGATTGGGGATAATTGTTAGATAATCGAGGACGGGTAACTGTTTTTCTGACCGTAAACGTCTATACTGTCAGGCCTCACACCGGAAGGAACTGTCCCTGTCGTAGTTCAAGTCATACAGGATGAACTCCGGCACGACAGCTTCAGCAAGATCGGCTGTGGCGTATTAACCGTGAGTGAGAAGCGCTGGTCCTTTAAAACGAAGTAGGGTGACGAGGTTTCGTCAATGCTTCAGTACCTAACCATCGTCCGCTTGTTGTGCAGAGTAAAACTCAATAGTCTGATCAGTTTATATTTCACACTTAATGATCATTAACTGTTTGTATTACAGGAATTGTTCATGCAGCACACATGATGTTAAAGTGTATTTCATTGTCGAAACCATCGCTCCATTGCAGGGGGACGATCGTACACGTATTCCAGACATTGAGGGAAAGCCACGACGCTCTGCTGAACTCCAGCGTGTTTTCCGCTATAACCTGTCACCTGGGACGTACATTCTCCGTCCTTCCAGAAAACATGGAACCAGCAAGGAGTTCCTTGTACGGGTGTTCTCACCCTGTCCCATTCATGCAGACAAGTATTAAGTGTCCATGAGTACATCCCTAGTAAGTAGTGATGGACTGTACACCGAAGTGTCGCTACATTTCAGATAAGAGTTGGTTACAGTATATGACGTATCAAATTAGTTTTGTTAACATAGGAGATATAATTTCATTGTCCAAGTTGGCTGCGGTGATAGCACGACATGTCATACTTCATAATTTATATATTTATAATACATATAATTTAAAGTGTTTCAAGAGACAAGGCACCAGGGCCGATACCGAGCACTTACTTCTATGTATTTCACTTCTATAAAACACACTTCTCAATATTTGAATTAGAAATGTTCAGCCTGTGGTTTCTTCTCTTGTCTATTGTTGGTCATCAGTTAATTGAAAACATTCCTAAACATTGATCACAACGTATTGTCAAGAACATTCCTCAAAATGCCTTCAATGACATGATAATGATTACTTGAGAGAGGAAGCTAACTCTAAAATGGAATATATAATTCGTTAATTATAATTTCTATTACAGTTTATATCACTTGTTAAGCTCACAAAATGTCATCACCCTGATCGCCTTTGGCATAAATCGGGTCAGTTACATCCCAGGTTAAATATTCTTAAAGGACATTATATCAACATTCACCACTAATTTCCTTTAAGAATATAACGTTACACCTTGAAAGCCCCAAACACCAGTACACTCAGTATTGTCAATTGACTGTCAAAATATATAATTAAAAAAATATAAAGGTGCTGTCTTCGTGGTCACACTCGGTGACAGGTAATATATAAAGGCTACCACTGTTAAATTCATTACCCGTTAGAATCAGTGGTATGCGAGTCCATCACTAAGCGCTCCCTCATTCTTTCCTGAAAATGAACATGAAATATGTGGGGAAAACTATAAAATGCCATTTTAGTCCTGTCTGACCCATTAATTTTGTTCTTCAATGTTGATGTCAATTTTGGATATTCATTCAAAATGCTTAGATTGCATTTTTAACTACATCGTTTCTGCTATACGAAATCATTATAACCATCAACACTTGTGGGTCGGTTTGACAAATGTATTACCCTCATTGTGATAGTGTGCCTCTCATAATTATTGACTATATTATTTCCCATAGCATGCATAAAATGTTATGCTTATAGCAGTGCGAATTAAACCATTTCCTGATAAAATTTATTTCGAATGAATTTGATCAATTAAATACAAGCTGTTCAAGTTTCAGTGGTATATAGTTGTGTATCTCTCGATGATTAAAATGATTTTCTTGATTTCTTGTAACTGACACATAAATGACGTTTTACAATTTTAAGTTGGCATTGGTCTCTGCGAATGGCTGGCATATGTCTTTGAATAGCATTAGTTTCTTAAAGTGTCCCTCGTTCCCAATGATTGATGTTTGATGGGATATTTTACTTTGTGAGTTTGGAATGGGCAGGGTTTTATAATTATTATCTTGGTTATTTGCTTTTTAGTTGTAAGCATATAAGCATGCATATATAGTTGCTCAATTCTGGACTTCTAGTCCAAAATCGACTTTCAAACGTATATTCAGAGAATAAATCAACAATGTTCATGAAACAGTCCTGCATTCATTGTCTGTCATGTTTCGTCATATGTGACTCACAGGATGGGCTCTAAAAATAATCAATGGAAACATCAGCATCACATCCGTAGATTTTAGTACACATTAGATACAAATATACACGACGAGGAATAATACAATCATGTCCGGTCTCACGGCCTTTCCTCCGAGTGACACACATCCTGCTTGTTGTCATCCGCATACAAAGCAGTTGGGTATCAGACAATGTGAATATCTACAGCAAGTATTACAAAGTCACACGCATTACACTTTAACATGAATATTGCAATTGCTCATTCAACAAGTGGGGAATTTTTAATAGGAATGGAATTTAAAACGTAACAATGAAAGTTGGTTGGTTGGTTTGTTACTTCGCACCTTAGCAATATTCCAGGTCTATGGCGGCGGTCTGAAAACAATCGAATGTGGACCAAATATTCCAGTGATTAACAACATGAGCATCGATCTACGCAATGGGGACATGGTGACATGTGTCAACCAAGTCGGTGAGCCTGACCAACTGATCACGTTAGTCGCCTTTTACGACAAGCATGCCTGCTAAAGACCAATTCTACCCCGGATCTTCAAGGGTTATAACTCTAAAGGAATGTCTAAAATAGTTCTGTTATCAGAATTAAGCAATAAATGCTCAACAAAGCATGAAAACACTTATGAAGGACATATGGAGCATATGTAGCTATGTCAGATAGGGTATCCTAGTTTGATTTTTAGCTTGTTTGGGTTGAATAATTGTCTTGCCTTTGCATATGTTTGTAAAGGTCGCCACTGCTGGGCCAGGATACGCTTATGTCTTTGTAAATACCTGATCACAATTTTTGAATAGATTCAGAAATACGTTCAAATAGGGATTATACAGTCGGAATTGTAAAATGGACTCGTGTTTCTTATGATTAATATTTCGTTCTTATGAAACTGCTTTTGTCGATTCTAGCTTTGCAGTATGAGTTGGATAACAACAGCAAATGGCGAAGGAAGCGCAGCCTTTGTCCGATTTAAGCTGAGATTAACTAAAAGTATACTACACAAAACATATTAAGCATAAGTCATACTTTAAGATGGAGCTAATCTATGCAAGTAAAATACATGCAGCCAGATGACTGATTGGTAGTACACATGTATGCAGCATACGTTTTGGTAAAGTGATCACAGTTTCAGCTCTAAAGCCCCTTTAAGCTGTCGAAATTTGCTCAGCGTCGTCCAAAAACGTTTTGTTACTGTAATGTCTCCGACTATGAAGGGGCTGTTCAGTGGATCAAATATTAGAATCTCAACATGGCCAATGAGGAGGCCATCTTGGTTAAAAGAAAAATAAGTTATTTTCCAAAGGTAACAGGATCAGAGGCCAAAACTCTGTTGGACAAGAAGATTCGAATGAAAGACCCAAAAACGTAACTCTTGCATCCATATTAGTAAAAGAATATTAAGCATAAAACATTGAAGCATTAAGAAATATGCGAAGAAGGTGGATTAAGCTGCTAAATGTCACATCTGCATGACATCACTGTTAATGTCAGAAACAAAACGCTCCTAAGCCTAATTCTGACTGTAACATTGTAAGTAAAATCTATACTGAATATTTCTTGGTCATATCTTACACTACTGTGTAGCTATGGAACACGTATTAGTACACATACAGGATGAATTTGATTGATTGAGTGAGTGAGTATGCAGCTTTTAGAAAAATCCCAGCAATATCACGGCGGAGGACACCAGAAATGGGCTTCCTACATTGTACCCATGTGGAGAATGGAACCCCGGTCTTCAGCGTGACGAGTAGACGCTTTAACCATTAGGCTACCCCAAAGCCCCAGAATGTATTTGAAGTGATCCAGTTGCTTGATGCAAGTTGTATAGACAGGTGAGATATCGCCCATACTGCAAATGTATCCTTTACATGGTTGCTTACTTATCCACTTTGTGTATACATTTATTGAGATTGGTATGAAAATGTATACGGAAACATTGCTACAGTTTCAATAAGCATTAGCATCTATACTCATATATGTAAATGTCATACAAAGAGTTTGTGTTTATCTTTGAAAGGAGGAAGTGAAAATTTTGTTTTCGCAAAACATTTTCTTCCCAGGACACCCTCTGATCATCATGCTTAGGTATTATTCGGGAAACATATTTTTCTGTGTTATGTATTGAAAATCTATTAGGTCTTTGAATGGCATTTAGAAGACAAGCATAAGGAAGGAGAGTCCGTAACGTTGTGTTCCTCGTAAAGAAGAAGTTGACATCCATAAAATGTATCTTCCTTGTAAAAATCTATTGTTATAAAATCAAGTTGTTTCTTCCTTGACATCCTTATAGAGTCATTACGCCATATTAATCTGTTGGATTTCCTGTTGTCCCCTGAGCACACCAGAAAACTAGGAACATGGGTTTTAGTCCCTATTCGGTTCTTCAGCACCACGCCCGTGCTTGTGGGCTTAAGTAAAGTAGTACACGTTTAAGACCAGCATCACGTCGAGCTGGCCAACGTACTCTGACAAGCCGTGATATACCTTGGATTCGGTTCAAAGCGGCGTCAAAGTGCACTCACTCACTCACTCTCTGAGTCACGTAAGATGTGGACACTGCCACATTTAACATCATCCATCTGTCATGGGGTTGCTCCGGGAGTAATGGTGCCGTTACTGCTCCAAGACTATGTCTGTGTTGTCGGCTACTTCGCTGAAAGAATAAAACATTGTTTGGAATCTAGTACGTTCCTTGGGCGTGACGAGAGAACCCAATTACCCCATCAAACCTACCCTACTGCCCCATAACGTTTTGTATTTACAGGTGCGTCATGTACACGTGTGTATTATTGTGTGTATTATTGCTAGTTACAGTCTACACATATGATCAGGACAATCCAGCAGTAGGTCGGCATCTAAATAGAAAACATCACTTAGAATACGACACATGACTATGTGTCGTGTCTTCGGTTGGAATGAGGAACCTGTCGAGCAAATGTGGTTTCAAATACCCTGAAAAACAGCCGATATGTAATAGGTACCAAAATTTCGAGTGATCTTTTGAGAAAAACCAACATTATCAATAGAATGTGAACTGGCTGCCAGATATTTTTTACGAAGGATTTCTACAGAATTAACTGACGACCAAAGGAACTACATGTATTACCAAACTGAGGAAATTTAAGAACAAGTTCAAAATAAATCAATGCAAACCGTATCGTCCAAATACAACAATACTCTACGCTGTTAGTGATACACATTCAGGGCACTTTTTCTTGTAGAAACTGGGTAAAAGTTATGTTATACCGAAGACATGGGACACTCATTCTGAACAAAACACACGACAGACACCCAGAGGCGCCCATGCCAACATGGATGGAACTGTCGGATTATCCAGTTTTGTTGTAACTAACCTGTTACAGACAGACAGGGTAGACATCAGATTGGTGTATTTTCTGATCTCCGGAATTCTTCCTTACAGTTTCGTCATAAGCGGCAAATGCCTTTGGGCATATGGTAAGGCGACAGACAGTGACCAGGAGACTTAGGACTCGGGGATTACAGCTATAGATAGTGCGTCGGCAGAGACTGGCAGCGACGTAACTGGCAGAGGATCGTCTACATGGATTAAATGCGATTCTGACCTGACAAAGACTGCGTGTTTAACACCGAAAGGGACAACAAATGGCGGCATGGTGCGTATAGGAGGTCGTGGTATGTGGTGGAGGGGCTGTTGTGGGGGGAGGAGGAATTTGTGGGCAGATGAGAACATCACTTGTCATCCTACAGCGTTACATGGGACACATTCTTCATCAACTCCTCTTACCGTTCCTAGAACAATTTCATCCGCATCACAACCCCAGATCCCATACAGCCCGAGCTTCCTTGCAGCCCACAATGTCAAGGTCTTGCCTTGGCCTGCGCTACACAAATTTGTCCCTTTTGAAATACGTTTGTGATGGTACGGATAGTCGTGTACGACAGTAAACAACATCATCCAGCTAACCGACAAGAACTGATCCAGGTCCTCCAAGAACTGATCCCGGTCCTCCAAGAAGAATTTTCACGTATCCCATGTGACGTTTTCAGAAGACTTACTTTTCTTGGTTCATTGCGTGTAATATCAGGAGCTATTAATGTGTCAATGAACCGGCGCCATTTTTTAGATGTATGTGGTCATTTTTCGTTACGTTGAAAGCTTACTTCTGCCACCCTACATCAATCCCGGCTAGCGCCATGCCAGTATCGGTCGTTATATGAATGTCTGGATTTATGTGAATTTCGTTGAGACATTTGCAATACATTTTACTTCTTGTATCTGTTGTTTGTGTTTTTGAAAACAAGTTTGTCGAGTTTCCTTTGGTCGTCACTTAATTTGTTTAATCTTGAATACAATACAACGTCATCAGATCAGCAATACAACGTGAAGCAAAGTTTTCGTTATCTAGACAATCCATAAGGGCGAGTAAGGTGATTTATACTACGTTAAATCATAAAAGGCATTTACAGTGGACTCTGTATAATCCAACACACACTGGGACCGGGAAAAAATGTCGAATTATACAGAGTATCGGGTAGTTCAATGTCTCCTTGCTGAATGTAGGAAAAAGAGTAACAGGAAAATACGAAACAGGAAAAAAGTAACAAATAAAAGTAACAAAAAATGTGCTTGTAATTGTTTTGTTATACTTTGATATAAAAAATAAAACAAACAACTGAAGAAGTGTTTCTTTTGTTTCATTTTTTCCTAGCAAAATCTGTTACATTTTCCGTTTCGTTATGCTGTTATTTTTTTCGATCACCCTCCTTGCTTGAATATTTTGCAAACAGTACCATAGAAACTGGCTTATATCATGAAATTAATGCTTAATAGCTATTTTCTTGGTCAAAAAGGGAAAAACAAATTCTTTATTGACATGTACAGGCGACATTGAGTGCCATTGCTATTGGCTAAGTCATTGATCACCAGACCTGACTGTCGATATAGATAATGAAGATCGATAATCGTTAACTCAATAGCAATCGATTATCGATAAATATCGGAGACGTAGATTTGAGCAAAAATGTCTGAAAAAAAAAAAAATTACATCTCTGGTAAGTGGCGACATGCTTTTGCACGGGTTCTTAACAAAAAAAGCGTCCTGAAAATAATTTAGAAGCAAGCCTTGAATACAGTCCTAAAAGTATAATATATTGTGTATATCATTGGATTTATTATCTTCAGTACAATATACAAACACGTACTACTATCACAATCATGTTCACACTTTGATATTTGATCTCACCAAATTAATAGATCCCTTTTCTCTGCCCATTCATCCTATGCTTGACAAAACATACCTAGGTCCTCCCATTGGCCACTCAGCTTGTAAAAACCAAGTTACAGGCGTTCTTACACTGCTAATTACCTCCCAGTTAGCAAGTGCCTGGACCAAAGAGATTACCAGTAACTGGATGTTAGCTGTCAACCGGCCATTGACAGGTTGATTGGCTAATTTAGTCCAGGATGGAGAGAGGATGTCGGATTGTACAGATTGATAGTGTCATTGGGACCAGAAAATGGTGTCTGAATTAGGAATGTACAGATGTCGGATAATTCAATGTTTAATGATGATAATATAGAAGAACGCTGCCGGGACCCCAAAAATATGTCAGAATTCACAGACTGTCGGATAATTCAGATGTCGGATTATACAGAGTACCGTATACAACTTGAAATCATAAGGGCTTTTTATACAACGTGATTGGAGGAGGAGTGAGTGAAGGTTTAATTTTTACATACGCACTCAGCAATATTCCAGCTATATGGCGGCGGTCTAGAAATAATCGAGTCTTGACCAAGACAATCCAGTGATCAACAGCCTTGAGGCATCGATCCTGCGCAATTGGGGAACCAATGACATGGCCAACCAAACTATGCGAGCTTCAGCACCCGATCCCGTTATTAGCCTCTTACGACAAGCATGTATTTACTGAAAGATCAATATTCTAACCCGACCCTTCACGGGTAGAGTGGCAAGTAGAAGTTGAACATACAAAGGGAGTGCGGGGATGGGTCGGGGTGGATTATGGTGCTTCATCTGCAATATGCGAAACACAATAAGTTTCAAAACTTGATAGCAGGCGATTACCGCCACCCAGAGTCAGACGGTGGATAAAGGTGAATACACCTGGGCCAGATAGTCTCTGTTTCCTTCGCGACCTGCCTGGAAGGAGGAACCAGGATGTAAACGGCTTGGGGTGAGTTCAGAAACTGGAATCTGCGCCGCTGCATTTTTAGCGTAGTGTGTCTCATCCTGCTCTCGCTTGACGGTGGTGGTGACTACTGTCTCATCATCGTCAGGACTCCTTTCGTCCGAAAGTAAACATTTATTTTCGGCTATAAAGGGGCCAGCTACTTAATTGTAAAGCAGTTCGAAACAGCAGCCATTTAGTAATTTAAAAGTTCAGAACATTTGGAGTGGATTGGCCACACATTGGAGCTGCTTTCGATGTTCATTCATATGTCATTTGTTGTATGTTATTTTACACTGCTACTGCATTGTTACAGCAGATGCGATAATTGAGTGTAGGTGGAGGTGAGGTGAAATTCAGCTTGTCGTGCT